TAAATATTACGAATTACTTAATGTTTAATTATAAATTAATTTAATTAAACAATAAATATATATTAATTTTAATATGAGCTAAATTCAAGATATATTTTTTTATTTTTTCAGGGTTAATTACCAACGTGATTCTCATCGGTAACTAGGAATACAAAAATCAAAAATGGCGCCTGAAAAAATTGGCACCTAAAATTTTGGAGATGATATTACGAATTACTTAATGTTTAATTGTAAATTAATTTAATTAAACAATAAATATATATATTAATTTTAATATGAGCTAAATTCAAGATATATTTTTTTATTTTTTCAGGGTTAATTACCAACGTGATTCTCATCGGTAACTAGGAAAACAAAAATCAAACATGGCGCTTGAAAAAATTGGCGCCTAAAATTTTGGAGATGATTTTGAACCTGCAGCGAAGATATTTGTGTAGTTCAGACGTCGTTTTTGTCGGTGATTTACTAATATGGCCCAAATTGCGAAGCATTTTTCTTACATTGTCAGACGTGATGTTCGTCGGTGATTAGCATAGGGCTCGAGGCTCCTCTATATGTGTAGACGTTGTGCTTGTTGGTAATTTACCGACGTGGGAACTAGAGATGTTTTCCGGTGGACTGTTCCGGCTCCCTATTTGCAAGATGTTCTTTGTCGGTAATTATGAGTGCGTTTACCGATGTGATTTTCATCTACGTCGGTGATTGAATTGCTGAGCCCGGCTTCACCGAGAAACCCATTACCGACGTGATTCAAGTGGGCATTTTCTTTCACCGACCAGATTCCCTCTTTTTCCAACATGGTTTCTCGTCGGTGATACAGTGAATTCTTGTAGTGATGTCTTGTCTAAATGTTAGAAATATGATGCAAAATGATTAGCACACGTGTCAGACGCTTGGCATATATGCCTCAATTGACAATGCCATATGCTCCATTCGACGATATAATGGCAACTACTTGAGCTGGGGACTATCAAAATAACAAAATTGAAGGTTGAAGACCGACTTTCACTATGAGCCAAAATTAACTCAGAGAAATATATAATTTGTCAATATAAATAAATAGAGGTCCAATAATATCACGGACCCGTGCAAAGATGTCCGAAACCAACTTGTCCTTTTTAGGTTGATCGATTTGCTGGTTTGAAATAAAAGCTGAAGGGCTGAAAGAGGTAGACATGTGTTGAAGACACTCAGCTGCATCCTTTATGAACAACTTGTAAGCAAAATATCTTCTAATTAGTTATGTAGAGTTAGCGTGATTAAGATCCATCACTCATTGTTGATTTAAGTGTTAATGTAAAAGTTAAATGTCAATTTAGTTCTTGAAGTTCCAATTTTGAATAAGTTTTTTCTGTGGACTATTTTTTTTTTAATTCTTGAATTATAAAAAATACGTTTTTTTTTGTTCTTATGTTAATCTCTAAACTTACTCTAAAGATTAAAACTGTATATATTTAAATAGATTTAACAAATTAATTAATAAAATGATTAAAAATATATTTTTCATATTTCATGAACAAAAAAATACAAAAAATAATTCAAAGACAAAATATTTAAAATTAAAAGTTCAAGACTAAAATTGAAAGATATTCCTCAGCAAAAGCAGTGTTTACGGATTAAATGTGTCGGAGACGTGGTTGAAAGGGGCAGCTACAGCCTTTAGTTGTGGAGTGGGGGAATTCCCGGTTATCTATTTGGCGTTGCCTGTCGGTGGGAACCCAAGAAATAAAAAGTTGTGGAGCTCGGTTGTGAAAAAGTTTCGTGCCAAACTTGCCATCTGGAAGTTTGCTATCCTTTCCTTTGGGGGCCGCCTCACTCTGCTCAATTCGGTACTTTCTACTTTACCTACTTTTTATATGTCTTTACTTTTAATGCCAAAAGCAGTGATTTCTAAGTTGATTTCTATTCAAAGGAATTTTTTATGGGGTGGGCCTGAGTTAAAAAGGAAGATTGATTGGGTCAAGTGGGATCTTATTTGTTGTAGTAAGGAGAAAGGAGGTTTAGGGGTGCAGGATTTACGTAGGAGAAATTGGGCGTTATTAGGAAAGTGGTGGTTTCACTTTGGTGATGGTGCGGCGAATTTATGGAAACAGGTGTTGAGGGATAAATACTATGGGGGTAAGGAGGTGGTAGATATCACTGCAGTGGACACTTGGCAGCTGTCCAAGATTTGGGGTGACATTATTCATATAGGAGGGATTTCTGAGAGGCTACGAAATATGCTAGTGAGAGGGTTCAAGTGGGAGGTGAGTGATGGTCGAAGGGTGGACTTCTGGAGGGATAGTTGGGTGGGAGATAAACCTTTACGAGACTTATGTCCTAGATTATATGCATTGAGTATGAACCGAGAGGGTATGATTAGTGAGATGGGGGATTGGGAAAGGGATAGACTTATGTCCTAGATTACGAGTGACCCAGTTGCTTGTGCATTGGAGGTGAGGAGGCATAAAAAGGAACTAAAGAAGTATTTGAAGCTGAAACAGGGGCATATATGATCGGCAGTGGGGGCTTGATTGCTTTTGGCTGATGTGTTTTTATCATAAATGATGTCAGTTTTGCTAGGTCTTTATTATGATGGTTTAGTCTTTTATTTTGTAAATGGGTTGGAGTACTCCTTGTACTCCTATTAATAAATTATCTTATTTTGCTGATAAAAAAAAAAAAATTTGCAAAACGTGTTCATGATGACTTCGTAATCTTTATGTCTTGATTGTGTTCGTCACCCCTTTTTAAAATCGTATCTTCCATTTCCCATTAGTATTCTATGTAAAAATTAATGACAGTGGCCTAACTTAGCAAATAGTTTTTTTGGAAAATAAAAATAAAAATATTATGAATAAAAGTTGATTTCATAAGGGGTCTTCCATTCATCTATGCTGTTGTAGATTCATTCTTCTCATACATTATATATCAATTTCTATGTAGTAGTTAATGGTGATGAATTCTTAAATCTTCCACCATTACCTTAGCCTATATACGGAGGTCTTGTGTTCTTCTATGTGATGTTACATACTCATATTCAGGGACGGAGCCAGACTTTTGAGTGAGGAGGGGCAAAATTTTAAAATTTCTTAAGAGTTATAATAAGTTTATATTAATATAATTTATATCAATTTGTAAGTATTAGTTATGTA